GGTACGGATGACCTGATAATGTACCTTTTGATCATTATTTCCAGCAGATGAGTGTTTCCCATATACACAGCCTTCTCCCACCTCGTCCCTTAAAAAAAATATATAACTTCTTTATGGAAACATGACCATTTTGTAAAAAGAAGTGGCACATTCTGGGGGAAAAAAAGGATGAAACACACCTTTTGAAAATGCATCATCCTAATCTTGGATATCTGAGTGCCACACTGAGAACAATACAGAACAGATGTACTCAGATCACCCTATACAGGTGTAACTTTCCTGCCTTGGCTCTACCTTTTCTGAAAGTAATTCCACTTAACTTTCAAAATCTGAATAACAAATTGATTACGTAACTTGCCCAAAGTCAAACATCAAAGCAAGTGGTAGGACAAGAATTTAAACCGAGTCGGTCTGACACCAGAGTCCTTGTTCTCAACCACTAATCCATTCCACCTTCTCACTCTCTGCCTTTTATTTCCCTTGAAGCTACCTCTTGCCCCAATAACCTCCTCTCTTCAATCCACCTCTCCCACTCCAAAGCCACAATAAAACTGCGGATCTAGTGATGCAGTGGAGAGAACAGAAGTCACAAAAATGGTGTGAGTCCTGGTTCTGCCTCATTCAGCCGTGGCACCTGGACACCTGCAAACATGGAGTCCTGGTTTCCTGAGTGTACACTGGGAACACTAACCAAAAATAACCGGTTCCTTACAAGATTGCCTATAGATTAAATGAGATCATGTACATAAAGCATTCAGCATAGGGTCTGGCTAGGGGGTACCTCAGGCTATTGACTGGAAGACAAACCAGAAAAGAGAAAAGGGAGCAATGGCAATTTACAGCACAATGAAGACGAATTCCACCAGGAGAAAGTGAGCTTTCTCTTTGACCTTTCTCACTCGCTTTATGATACAACCACCATCTGAGGGGGCAGACAGTGGACATGCAGGGTGCCACCACCACATCACCACAAGCACAGGCTGCAACAGTGCAGGAGCTTACACCATGGTACCTAATAGTACAAAGCCCTTCTGGGGTGTCCTTCTATATCGAGTGACTCCAAAGACAGGATTGTTTAGGGCAGTCCGTGCACAGAAGTGTTTCTCAAAGGACCCAACTCCACTATCACTATCTCTGTGAAAAACATGACAACCCACGGCGGGGCCACCTGCCTGTGCTGCTCTCCAGGGCTCCCCAGGGCTCCTCTCTCTGACCCTCCCTGGTGACTGCCTCAACTAAATTAACGGCGGGTCTTCTTGGGGCCAGGGAAGGAAATTCACCACTGCATTTAATAGGTCTCCCAGAATAAACAGGAAGGAAACGCTTAACGGATCATTTTACTTTCTCCTGTGGTCATCTACACTCAATTCTTCCTGACCATCTTCTGAAGAGATGGAGAAGGGCTGTTCATTATTCCCAAGATGGGCTCAGTCACCATCAAACTCGTAAATCAGCAGCCCCCAAACTTTATGCTCTCAGGACCCCTTTACATGCCTACCACTTACTGAAGACCCCAAATAGCTTTTGTGATGTGGGTTATAGCTAACATTTAGCATCTTAAAAAGTAAAACTTGAAAAATGTTAAAATAGAAAAATATACAAGCTCAAATTCTATGTCAGGCTGCGTATCCCGTAGCCTCTGGAGAAATCCCACCACATGCTCATGAGATAATGAGAATGAAAAAGGAAAATCACATCTTAATATTATTATGAAAATAGTTTTGACTCAACCCCCTGAATGGGGTCCACAGACCACACTTTGAGAATTGCTCGTCTCAAAAACCATTACACCAGTCCCTCTGAGTGCTGCCAGGTGCTAAATGATTCTTTCTGGATATCATTCTGAGTTTTAAATCCGCTAATTTACGAAGTTAGACTCTAGATCCTGGACCAATAAGCTCAGAGAAGAATTAAATAAGAAGTCATTTAAATGATTTAGCAGAATTACCTAAACAACGACTTTCTAAAACTGAAACGCAAATTAGCACTGAAAACACCACAGAAAACATTAACAGGCTGAGCCACATATTCTGGGCCAGCAGACTGTGCTCCCTCTTCTGTTTTCTCTCTTTTTAATTATTGTTATGCCCGCGAATGATATTTTCATTGGTATTAAACCTGCCAGGGGTTCAGTGTGAGGTATACAGAAGAGGAGAAGCTTCAGAAGGATACAATATACGCAGCAATAACCAGATCTAATTTTCTCCTTTAGAGAGAACTTGGTGGGAACGATGGAACACATAGCATCAGCATCATATTTTCAAATTCAAGTATTAACAGAGGTTTGGGGATCAATCACACCAGGTATTTTTTTGGTTGTTGTTATTTCTTTTTTTCTGTTTGAGCCAGAGGTCAAGTTCTGCTTTTAAATTCAGCCTCTTTGTTCTTTCTCCCTCTTAGCCCACTCTGCTGTGTGTTCTAAGCCGAACCCCATGACCGAACAGGACTGTCTGGTCGTACGTTCTGCTCATAACAATCATAGTCATAACAGAAACAAGCACCTAGTAAGCACTTACCCAAGTAGTTTGTGCTCAACTCTTTATTTCTGCAGTATCTCAAATCTCCCCACAACCCCAAACGGCAGGTACTATTATTCCCCGCAATTTACCTGAGAGGACTTTACTTGCCTAAAGGGCACAAGGTAAGTAGGCGGAGAAGCAGGGAAACATCCCAGATAATCTCATTCCAGCTCTCTCTTCACAGGATGCTAAACTTCCTTTTAAAGAAGATAACAGAAGAGGTTAAAGAGGCATCCCTCCATGCCATTGAAAAGTAAATAAATAAAATTTTATTTGGCAAGTGTCTGGAGCAGAGAAAAACTGCGGGCTTCCAAAAAAGCTACCACAAAGGGCCCTTCTTCACAGGCATCAAACTAAACGCAGGTGAAGCTTTTATCAGGGCCACCAGATAAGGAAGGGCTTATCTCAGTTCCCTGGACTGACTGCTAGCTGGTTTCACTTGCCCGCTAAGTGTTGATTCAGAGCTTCTAATGTTACCCTGTTGAGGTGCCAAATTGACGTGTTGGAAGAGGGTTGCGCTGATCGGTCTTCCATTTCCTCAGCAAAGAAAACAAGGAGCTAGTCAACTGTGGCCCAGACCCAGGGGTGGGAAAGAATCCTATCCGATCTTCAATTACTGTGAAATGGAATCACCTTCCTGCCTGACAACAGTGACTAATTCCAAAGGCCCAACCAGCCTTCTCAAAATGATGACTCTGGCGTCAATTACCATTTGGGGGCAGATTCAAATCTGATCCGAACCTGAAAAATCCCACCCCTTGGTGCTAATCCCTTCAACTTTCTGATCTTAAATAGGGCAAGTTTCAGTAAAGAGCCCTTTCTCACTTTACAACCTACCTGAATATTATCTGTAATGATTTTGCTTCATCAAAAAATTAATTAAATTCCTGCTTTAATGGTCTAAACACAAGAGTCGAAGGAAGGAAGGAGCTGTGGCCTGCTGCCAGGGCCCCTCTGAGGCTCTTGGAGTTAATAATTTCCATGGTGTTTTAAGCATTTGAAACAACAAAGGCCAGCTTTCACTAATGGCATGACCGATTCTGGCAGAACCTATAAAAATGAGGCCTACTCTGGGGTAGTTTGTATTACAGAGAATGAAGTTTTAATAAATAAATGAAACCAACCATCAGGAAACTGACATTTATGCAATTCTCTGGTATTAATCTTCAAACTTAGTAATCAGTGCCAAAGTTAGTGGAAATAAAGTGCTTACAGCACAGCTGAGACGACCTATGGCTGTGACATGATTTTAGGTGATTTTAGGTGGGAGGAGATGGCTCTCCTAAGGCATTTCTGGGTAGGATGATGCCTGTGCACAAGCTGCTGCCCCTCCTCCCACTTGGACATTTCTGACTGGTACGTTACCTACTCAGTCACTTTTCAGAAAGACAGACATGAGATTTTGTGCTCCATGAAATGAATCAACTTTTCATAATACTGGGTTGAAAAGTGGCACCTCATGGGCTGAATCTGGGCTACTGAAGCAATTTATTAGGTCTTCATGGTGTTTGCTTTTTTTTAATCTGAATGGGTTGCCAATATTAAAAACTCAGAAGACTCAAAAGACTTCACATGAAGATGCTGATAGCCAGCTACCCTCAGAAACCGGGCGACCAAGCAAGTCTGGGCCCGCACTTCCGCCTGGCAGCCACGGGAGAGAAGGGCGGAGGCAGCGCCTTCAGAATGGGCATCACTCACACTCAGCCTGCCTCTCGCCTGGTCCGTGTTCCCACCAGAGCCAGGATCTGCACCGCCTGCCTTCCTCCTAATAGCTGGGGGAAGGGTACAGCTTAGCATGCTCAAGGTCCTGGGTTCAATCTCCAGTACCTACACTAAAAAATAAAATAAAAAATTAATTAAGAATACATAAAGAAACCTAATTACTTCCTAATACCCAGCCTGCATGTTAACTCCCTGATGAGAAATACTGGCAATGGTAAGGTTAGTATGTGCTGGAAGGAAGGAGGAAGAAATGCATGCAAAATATTATTGTATACAGAAAAAATAAATCCCACACTAGCCTCTTGTATGAAATTCCTGACACCTCAGAACAGAAAACACCACTTTTCCACGGTGTCTTGTTTTGTTTTCAAAATACTCCTTTCACTAAGTCAACTATGGATTTTATCATATACAACAATTCTATGTGTAGCTTGAAAACACGAGATTCTCATGGATGAAAGGTCCATTGTCTTATATTATGTCACTAAGAGAATTTTCAGTGAAGATAATCCGTGGAAAACAGAATTTACCAACATGTTAGTTTGGAGCCACTACCCCACCAGACCCTAGGCCAAATCAACAGTCATTAAAATACACAGCATCTTCCATTTCTTTTTTTTTTCTTGTCCTATAGATAACAGAGATGCTCCATTTAAAAAAAAAAAACAGACAGGGAAATATATACAAGATCTTGTGGTAGCCCATAGTGAAAAAAAAAGTGACAATAAATGTATGTATGATCATGTGTAACTGAAAAACTGTGCTCTACACTGGAATTTGACACAACATTGTAAAATGACTATAACTCAATAAAAAAATGTTTAAAAAAAAGGCGGGGAGGGAGGTATTAAAAAAGAAAAGTAAATGTCTACATTGATGCAGATGCGCATTTCATTTTAAGCTGTAGGCTGAACATGCAAAGTCTGAGGCCTCTATGTAATCTGACATCTTCCGAGAAGGAAATAACACTCTTGATCATCATTACCATCACTCCCCATTCCCTACCCACTTCTAATCATGTTTACAAGGCTTTAAAAAGATTAAACTTGCTCCCTACTCAGCCTATCATGTACACCCTTGAAAACAAATTAATGTCATCGAGGATTCAAGATCAAAGCAGACTGGAGAACAAACCTGCAATTTCCTTCATGCTTCAATGAGACAAAAAATGAATGAGAAGCATAGACCCAATATATAAGCTCTTGGAAAAGGGAACCCCTTGACACTGTTGTTGGGAATGTAGTTTGGTACATCCATTATGGAAAACAGTATGGAGATGCCTCAAAAAACTAAAAATAGACTTACCATATGATCCAGCAATCCAACTCCTGGGCATATATCCAGAGGGAACTCTAATTTGAAAAGATGCATGCACCCTGATGTTCACAGCAGCACAATTTCAATAGCCAAGACATGGAAGCAACCTAAATGTCCATCAACAGACGACTGGATAAAGAAGTTGTGGTATATTTATACAATGGAATACTATTCAGCCATAAAAAATGAATAAAATAATGCCATCTGTAGCAACATGGATGGACCTGGAGATCGTCAGTCTAAGTAAAGTAAGCCAGAAAAAGAAAAATATCATACGATATAACTTGTATGTGGAATCTAAAAACAAAAAAAACAGACACAAATGAACTTAAAACAGAAACAGACTCACACACATGGAAAACAAAAACAAACTTATGGTTCCCAGAAGGGAAAGGGGGTGGGAAGGGATAAACTGGGAGTTTGAGATTTGCAGATACTAACTACTACATATAAAATATATACACCAGTTTCTACTGCATAGCACAGGGAAATATATTCAATTCTTGTAGTAACCTATAATGTAAAAGAATATGAAAAGGAATATATGTATGTATGTATATGTATGACTAAAACATGCTGTACACCAGAAATTGATACAACATTGTAAACTGACTATATACTTCAATTAAAAATACATATGAACTCCTGAAAAACAAACAAACCACAACAACAACAAACAGATTTTCAATACTAGTATTGGCACAGCAACCAAGTAATTTGGTGTGCTATGATGAATACTACTTTAATGCAGAAATAGCTCATAAGTGATCAATAAACAGAGATTAGAAGAGGGTAGAATGTCAGGTTGGGGTATACGTGATTTAAAATGTGTTTTGATACAGTGAGGGGTAAACGTTCTTGTAATTTAAAAGAAAACTTTAGCAACAGATGAAGACCTCGAAAAAAAATTTTTTTTAATCCTACGAAAGTACAAGTAGTCTTTTATTTAGTGGCTTCAAAATTGCTAAAATTTGCCCTGTGTTAATTAAACTCTTTGAAAATCTGACAGTTCAAAGAAAGACACTACAGCAATCCCACTCCTAGACATATATCTATAAAAGATGAGAACTCTAATTTGAAAAGATACATGCACCCCAGTGTTCACAGTGGCACTATTTCAATTGCCAACACATGCAAGCAATCTAAATGTCCACTGAAAGATGAATTGTAAAGATGTGGTATATACACACAATGGACTATTACTCAGCCATAAAAAAGAATGAAAGAATCCCATTTGCAGCAACATCGATGGACCTTGAGATTTTCATACTAAGTTAAGTAAATCAGACAGAGAAAGACAAACATCATATATTACTCATACGTGGAATCTAAAAATATAATACAAATGAACTTATTTACAAAACAGAAATAGACTCACAGACATGGAAAACAAATTTAGGGTTACCAAAAGGGAAAGAGGGGAGAGGGATAAAGTAGCAGTTTGGGATTAACAGATACACACCACAATATATGAAGCAGATAAACAAGGACCTACTGTATAGCACAGGGAACTATATTTGGTATCTTGTAATAACCTACATTAGAAAGGAATCTGAAAAAGAATATATGTATCACTTTGCTATATACCTGAAATTAAGACAACATTGTAAATCAATTATTCTTCAATAAAAAGAAAGTAAACAATAAGTTGCCCCCCCCAAAAAAAACTATAAAAACACTGTTCCCCTCACCTTAAAAAAAGACTGATGCAGAAGTCTAAACCCCAATCAGATCTTTACTTTTGATGGAAGTGGTCTCCGTTAAAAGCAAATGCCATTAAAAATCTACAGCTTGGAGAAGGAAGAAGGAGGAGCCCCAGGGCTTGATGCTTGTGGCAAATGCCACTACAGACTTAACTGAGCTATGGGTTTTACTAGGATGGTTATTATTTTTCTTCGTGCTCAGGTTACAAAGTTCCTTAAGATTTGACTGTTCTGCCCCTACCTCTATTTTTCCCTTATGCTCTGTATTTTTTACCTGAGATTTTGTAGGAGGTGAAGTTTTTCAGGAACGCATACATGGCATTAAAGCTGCAATTATTATACTACAATCTTGTTGGTCTGTCCATAGGTCAACATGCAATAGTAAACAGTAGTGGCCACAGTTGTCTGTAGTTTGGTGCACTCTGCAGTTAGTAACCTAGAAGTGTGGTTCTTAAATAAAGAGTTTGTCAGGATTTCATTTTAAATGCTTTCTAACATTATGTTGCTGCTAAAAATATAATTCTAAAGATTAAGCCAAAAGCACACCCCCAAATATTTATGCAATATAACATTAATTACCAGGAGAAGAATCCAAAATATACACACCAAAAGGGCAACCACATAAAAAAAAATATAAGCAGGTGGGAGGTAACAAGTGAAAACAGAAACTGTGCTTGAATAGTGGTGACTCTAAGAGTAAAATACCTTATTTCTTCCATTAGCTTTTTCAATTAAGCAAATGCTTTTTTTTTGTTTGCTGTGTCTGGAATCAATCATCAATTGGTGAAAGTTTGTAAAGAAATATTTTACATATACAAAGTGACAGATAAACAAATGTGGCCCCAGCCACACAACTGTTTTTCCAAATCAATGTTTTAACATGAGGAGGCTAGGCACAAAAGTAGCAATGAGGACTCAATCAAACCCTTATGGATATTATCTAAAACAATACTTTTTTGAACAACCAACATAAAGACGAGGCAGTCCTCTCAAATGACATGTTGGAAATGGATCTGGGGTCTTCAGGGACTGGGAAGTCAGGCTGGGATCTTGATGACGGGGACCTCTGGCTGGAAGCCATCACTCTAGAACAAGGTGCTCTCCAGCATGTGTGGTACAGGATGGAGGCACCGCCCTTGACTTTGTCTCATCGACTGAGGCCCGAAGCAGCAAGGTCATAGTAAGGTTCCTGGCAGAACAGCCTTACTTTTTGGAATAAAAATTCCCACAAACTGCTCACCTATCAAAGTTACCAAGTAGCTAACGGACATGAAACTTCCTTAGCAAACTAAACACATACCTACCGCAAAGTCATTTCTTTAAAAGAAAACTCAACAGAGGGAAACAGAAAAGGAGCCAATGAGAGTGAAGGCTGATTTAGCAGATACCAGTTTATTTGACATAGTGCATGATCCAAAGCATCTGATAGCCAACAAGATTTCCTACGTCCCTATTACAAAATACTGGATACCCTGAATACAGTTAATTCAAGGTTCTCGTTCCTTTTCTCCTACACCTAGAGTTAAATGGGTTTCTCCATGTAGCACACATTTCACATTCACTAAAGGCTTTGGGGAGAGGGGGAAATAGGGTATAACTGCCCCCTGAACCAAAGGCACTTAATGTTAAAAGATAAAGCACAGTAGAGTCACCCCACAGACATTCCTGCGCGTTCAGACTGCTGAACTCCAGCACACATCACTGGCCCAAGTGGGATTCATCATAGTGACGTAAAAGACACTGATTTCCTTGGAAAAACAAAGTGCAGTATGAATATAAAGACTCATCACCGCCACACCCACCCCCGACCCTTTTCTGAAAATAATATATGAGAACAAATCTTTTACATGATTAGTATGACCCAAGGTTCACACGTGGAAAAAAAATAGCTAAAAAATAATCTGTCATAAATTCTCACTATGAAATCACGATAGAATCTTCAATACTCAGAGAATTTGCGAGTTGGGAGAGAGCCTCAGATATCTTGTTGTGCATCCCCTCACTGGTCATATGAGGTCACTGAGGCCCAGGAAGGTCAAGTGTGGGGCCCCAGGGTCTAGTCCCAGTGGCTGAGCCCAGATAGAATGCAGGCCTCCTAAAGCCTCGTTCAGGGCACCCTCCACCTCCTTCCTCTTTAAAATGCTCTCAAAAGTAAAACATGGCGATGATGTCCAGAAATACACCACACAATAAAGCGCATATGCTGATGCAGGTCAGCGATTTGGTCTCGCAACTCGGTTCCTTTGGCCATCGGGCAGGTAAGTAACCCACCTTGGGTGGGAATTCTTCACAGGAGGTTGTTCAGCGTTCAGAGGGAAGCCACCTTCAGGTGAGACACAACTTCTTCTCGGATTCGGGAAGGCTCTTCTCGGCTCTTAGCCTGTGTTGGGCAGGCGGTCGGCTGCACAGCGGAATCCCAGATTCGAAGCAGAGCTGTCGGGTGTGTTCTGGCTTCGAGCAGCACAGCGATACCTATAGCAGTAGGACTGCGCAGAAAGAACAGGTGAGTGCTCTTGGGCTCTCGGCTGAAGGCTCCAAACTGTCAGATTCACAATGTACCCAAGACTCAGCTATAGAGAAGTCATGTCTACCTGGTAGACAGTGCCTCCCCCACAGACACCTGCCTCCTGCACACTCTGCATGTATGTTTCAAAAAAGGCAGCACTTCCAGAGTTCACCATATTATCCAATGTCCTTTACGTTATAAACATGACATAGATACAGTACAAAGATTACTTAGAACAGTTTAAAAAAAAAGGTAGCAACCACTAGTTACATGAATTACGGCACATCCAGATGTTAGACTAGCAAACAGCCATCAAAAGACATGCTTTTATGTAACATTTAATGGCATAGGAATTTCTCCGGATACAGTGTCAAACCCAAAAGACAGAATACAAAACTATATGTGGTATGATCTCAATCTAGACAATCACATATGCCAAAGAAAAAAAGACTGGAAGATGCAAAACGGACTGCAACCCAAGCAGAAGTTATCCTCCAGCAGTGGAGTGTTAAATTTCCTACAGTAAATATATTACTTTTATAATCTGAAAAGTTATTTTCACATTTAGAAACCAAGTAATACAGCTAAATGGCAATTGGGAAAATATTAAGAACATTAAGATATTATTTAATATCCAGCGGTTGGCAAAAATTGAACAGCAAGCCCAGGAAGGCCAAGAGGAGGAAAGGCTGTGGAAAGCACCTCTTCTTAACACACTGCTTTCGGACTTTAAATCATAACAACTCATAAAGCTATACAGTTTTGTGTGGGGGATCTGTTTTGCATTAATTTATAACAGCAGAGTATGGGATACACATACGCACAAACACACACAGACACCAAACACACCAGGCGTGGGGCCAGATGCCTTCATTAGTTATTTCCTTTGATCACAGCAGCCCAAAGGAATGAAGAGAGTTACCCTAGATGACACCATTGTTAAAAGAAGTAGAATTTGAACCCAGGTCTAACTGGTGTGCTTGCCTCCCTAGCAAGAGTCTGTACTCCTAGATGGAAAGGTCTCACATCTCCAGCTTCTCTTCCAGCCCCGATATATTCTCCTGCATGTGTACACATCCTTGCACATATGAGAAAGCCTAACATATATCTCTGGCCGCCTACTAGATATTCAGTGACTAACCACAGATTACTTGATTCAAACACTTCAAAAGCTTCTGTATTCCCTTAATAACCATGCATGGAACTCTTACCCTAAGATTATTCTCGGATTCAAAATAACAGAGAATGAAAATAAACTAGGTGTCCTGTTCAAGAGCATCAGCTCTGACTTCGCCCCATGAAGGCAAAATCCCTGCCTGCTGGTTACAGACACTGCACAAAGAATCACGTAGAATAACCTTGCAAGTCATGAAGGAGAGGTAATTTATGGGGGGAGGAAATAGGTCAGCATGAAAGAGGTGGTGTTTTTCCTTAATCCTTATTATTCTCCTTTGTTTCACAAAAGTTGAGTGTTTCTAATCTTCATAAAAATTATCTCTAACACTGACAAAGAAATTCGCTGGAGTACTTCCACCATGTGGGGAAAAAGAAGACAAAAAAGACACGGTGCCCTGTCTTTTATAGATAGTGAAACAAAAGCAACCCATTTTCTCATTTTCCCTGTGGCCAGGGAGGAATGCAACATAGTACCAACATTCAGGCAGGCAGAGGGGAAACAGATGAAAAATATGCCTGAAATAATGAGAAAAGTGACGGCATCTGCTGCGACCTGTGACTGGCACGCAAGGGAGCTCTAACCTGACGAGAGGTGAGCACGCAGGCAGACGCAGCAGAAGCTCTGTTCCAAGGAGGGCCTACCCACTGGGCTGCTGCGAGGCAACAGCGCTGTGGAACTTCTAGAACCAAGCTCCCGTGGATAACGCAGGGCCCCACGCCCCCAGTGCATGTAGTGAGCTCCACATGGAGCAAGAATCGAGTTCAGGGGAGGCAGGCTGCCAAGCGGGGCCATTTCTGTTCTGTAACTGCACCACACAAAACAAAAAACAATCGAGCATTTCCTGAGTGCCTACTGTGTACACTGTCCCGCTAGAGATCACAGGCTGATGGAGGAAACAACGATTATACATCTAACAGCTACAAATAAAGTAGGGTTAAAAGATACTAAGGTTATTACTAATTCAGGGAATGAAATGGTTGCTTATGGAATGTCGAAGTTTGAACTTGGCCACAGTGGGATTTACATGATGATGGCAGTGGTCTTCTGACTTGAGTATACAGAAGAACAGCCTGGAGAGCTCATGAAAAGACCGATTCATAGGCCACAAACCCAGAGATTCTGAGTCAGTGAGTCTGGTGTCGGGTCCAAGAACCTGCTTACTTTTTTTTTTTTTTTTTTTTGGTGGGAGAGGTAATTGGGTTTATTGACTTCTTTTTGGAGGAGGTACTGGGGATTGAACCCAGGACCACATGCATGCTAAGCATGCACTCTACCACTTGAGCTATATACCCTCCCCACCAGAACCTGCATTTCTAAAACAAGCTAATGCTATGGGCCCAGGGGCCACAAATTGAGTAGCACTGATTTACAGGACTTAGAAGTGGAGGAAAGAAGGTACGTTAAGTGGAGAAATAATGACATCAGACGCATGAAAATGGAAAAATCCAGGCAAGTTAAGAGGAAAGCAAGGCTGTAGCCTGTTAGCGTCAGAACAGAGTTTATTGATTCATTAAATATTTGCGTGTGTACAACCTGCTAGATGCGACGCTGGGCACGAGGGATACAATGTGGAACAAGACAACGCACCTGTTATCAGGAGGCTCACACTCAACAGTGGGTAGTCAGACAATAAACCAATAAATCTGAGATTGTTTCTGGCAGCGGTCAGCTTGGGAGAACGTTAAACAGGGAGAGAGGACTAGGCAAGACTGGGTGGCTACTTAGATAAGGTGGCCCGGGAAGGCTTCTCTGAGGAGGTGCTGTGTGTGCTGAGCTGCTCAAAGATTTGGAGAATGAGAATTCCAGGCAAAAGCAGTGACGGGTAGAGAGGATCAAAGATAAAAAGCAGGAAACGTGGTGGATAAAAAGGATGGAGTCACATTAAAGGCAGTCTTCTCCGCAGAAAGAGACAGTTGGGCTTGACACAAACGGAAATATGACAAACGTTTTGCTAATTTACTCACCGGAAAGGGCAAAAATCCAAGACTCATGAGCTATTGAACCTTACGCAAAGCCTTTCTGAATCTGCTTCCAAATCGATAAAATGGGGCTATTAATGGAATAAGGTCAAAGTGTTTCATCATATCTTACACAAAAAGTAAAGCCCTAAACACGTGAAGGTGTTCATCATTTCTTGTCACTTAATAATGAGCACAACATTCTTAATTAGAGGGACTGACTTTGCTTTTAACCTTTTTCAGGTAACCTGAGAACAGCACTAAAACAGCAGCATTTTGAGCCTGCTTCCTTGCAGGTCTTAGAGATCATATGTTGGAAAATGGTAATACCTTTGCCAGCAAGGGAATGTGGTTATACATTTGCTACAAAAATATGAAAATTATGTGCTATATAAATAGGATAGTTGAGGGGGCATCTCTGGTGACAAGGCACA